GGGCCATTGGATGAGGGGACACGCGTTACCAGATCCTCAAGGCTCGTCCCATCCTAGGTGTCACTCTGTCCCTTCATAGGTCGACTGGTATTGAATATGTCAGCCACAGGCTGCTGATTTGACCGTTTGAGAACCTGCCGCACGTCCCATCAGTCAGGGATTTGACTTTGGGAAGATTTTTGTACAAAGGATCTTTGTAGAGGCGAAGTGTGGCAGGTGAAGCGTTGCAGCGTTGTAGAAGCGGAGTGCGGGCCTTTGCATCCACTGCGTACTCGTGGATGAGTCCGATTCGTTCGCTGACGCGTGTTCAGTTCGTTCCTAATGCAATCACCTCGGCATGTACAATCAGTTCGTCCTTTGGTTTAATCACCTCGTCCGGTACGTGACTTGGGCCACGGGTGTGGACACGCGGCGGGCGAGGTGGCGGGTCTGACACAGGCCCGTAACAGAAACCATTATTTTGGACTTGGGCTGCTAATTTTTTAAAGATTTGGTACCTACAGTGGCACAAATGAAAGGTTTGGATCAAGTCTGCTAATAAATTAAAGGTTTGGTACCTTGACTACAATTCTCCCTTTATAAAATTATCTTACATTTCCTTTTCCAGCTGTTTTCTGATGAAGTTCTTTCTGTGTGCAGTAACTTTATCCACCTTGTTGAAGAGTAGTAGTACTGGAATCTTTTTCTTCACAACGCTTGCCTTGGTTAAAATATCATATAGGTGCCTTTCACAAAGAAGCATGAGAAGTTAGAATCACCTTCTAAAATATTTATACTCTTGCAAGCCTGTGTACTCTTGAAATCAAGTGCAGGTAACACGTACTACGAAGCTGCACGACAATTTGGTAAGAACTCAACAGCATCCACCACAAAAATAACGCCTGCTGCTTGAGGCAAGAACTCTTCTAAATTGGACCGAAGACAGGAATGCCCAGTTACATCAACAACATGAACAGGCTTTAATTTGCCCTTCTGCAACGTAACCAAAAATAGGGTTTAGATAGACAAATCTTACACCTGACTTTTGAAAGGAAATGTGGCATGGACAAATGGATTTAATATATTTCAAGGACAAGTCTTGGATGAGTACAATTAAACATAGTTGGGGGTAACAACAAAATCCGTTTTACTTAACATTAAGATTTCTTAATGGCTTGTGCTAATTACGCATGCTAGTCAAAGGGGACACAGAATATAGGCAAGTTGTCAGTAAAAGAATGCATTACCTTGGTCGTTTCAGGGTGTAGTATAAAAGTGCCTTCATTAGGTTCCATTGAGATCACAGTACCCTGATGAGAGGAACTGTCTCAAAGCTAGTACAGGGCAATAAATGATGTCTTATAGTCGGATTACACCATAAAGCTCATGTTTGATTTAATTTGTCCAAAATTATCAGTCACCATATCCATTTTTTGTGAGCGTACCTGGTAAAAAATAATGGTTTTCCCACTTCCACCAAGTCCAGTTAGCACAATGGTATTAGATGATCTACACTTCAACAATCGACCTGCACAATCACAAAATGTCCTTAGAAATCGCATTGAGCCTTCTGTAAGAGACAGGCTTTAAGGGGGAAAAAAAAGTTGTTGAGCATATAATGTGAAGCCTAAGACTAGAAATTGATAAGCCTTGTGAATTCAATAAAAAAATTACTGAGCTTGGCTCCCGTTTGGTATAGATTCTTTAAAATTCATTTTCAATCACACATTCTTCCAATAAAATGATTTTACAAGTGAATTCATAACTTTCCCATTACAGTTTAACCACACATTTTCCAAATAAATGACTTCTCACAAAATCTATTCTCCAAGAATCTACATCAGACGGCCCTTAAATATAATTATTAAATCACACCATTAATAATCTTCGCAATTCCTCCCCAACTCCTCCCACCCAAAATTAAGGTTATGAGAGAGAGAGAGAGAGGAATGAAATTTGTGTTATGCTTCACTGAGCATTAACCAGAAAACTCTGGCACATTGCCCACCATGAAATTATCTTTAGCAAAAGTACCGTGATGAATGATTTAGCTTATGTATTCAAAATTCAAACCTTCCAGGGGAAGAGAACAAAATATCAGCTAATATATTGCTTTTCCTACCAATTATCTGCTCTTTCACTCAAAATAACTGCCAAAATATTCATTATCATGTAGCTCATCATGTCAAGAAATACTCAAGGTGTAAGGAGAAGTAAGCAGCGGCAAGCCCAGGATTTAATCAGTGGAGGCAAAACTCCATTTAACCAAGGTCCACGTATCCAACAATGCATACTAAGAATTACGTAAAATCGAGAAATTGCAACACAAAGTCACCAACTTTATCACTGTAAGTAAGAAACTCAGAAAATCTCACTGAACCGAATTTCAATATCCCAACAAAAAATAATTAACGATGCATGATATGGAAATTCCAGAGAACTTCAAAGTTGCATAAAAAAAAAACACTTTAATGGAATAGGTCAGCTATAATTACTGATTAAGAAGAAAAAATATAGTGAACAAGATCACTCCCACTGCAGCGAAAAGTTGGTTTGGAGGGACTTTTCGCACGAATTCTTGGGCATCATTTAACACTTGTTGCACTAAAATCTTCAATTCTTCTATGTTCTCTTTATCCATCCCTCTTTTATACCATAATTTTCGAGCCTCTCGAACCCTATAAAACCATAATTTATTGGAAACACAATCTAGATTAGTAGCAAATAAAAATTTAAAGAGAACAATGCTAAACGACGTTGAATCGAACTTCATCTGGTTGAAGGCTCCCGCTGGATGATTCGAAGATTCTTAAATTTTTGCAGATTAACAAAATCCCTAAAATTAAGAATAGTAGAACAAAAATTATTTGGAAATGATGGATCATCGGATCCAAATGTAACCGTTAATTTAACCCGTTTCTTCAAAGCCTAAAAACGGGTTGTAAGTTAAGGATCAGATAACTGTGAGAATAGCTGGTAAAACGTTTTTTTCTCTCTTTTGCTTTTAAGAAAAAGTAGAACTTTAGGCTTCGGAAAAAAAAA